TCTTCCCAATTTACGCCAATGGTTTACACACTTATATTTAAAAGATATACTTTAAATATTTTTTCTTTTTTACTACTGTAGAGTTTTTTATAAAAATAATATCCATTACAATAATATAGTTGAAAAATACAACTTGTAACCACAATAAAATTACATACAATTTTAACGAATTTTTCTATTTTGAAAAGTCAAAAATCTGTAACATGACTACTGAAATAGTATAGTACACAGTTGTAGCTGTGAAGTAAATGTTCTCTGTTCTCAGTGTAGTCTTTTATTAACTCTTTATTTGACAATGTATGACGTTAGTGCAATATGTGACTTTTGTCGTATATGGCTTTAAATTTCTTCGATATAATTCACTATGTGTTAATTATTTTTGGTTTATCTTATAAGGACCTCTTCATTTTTTTAATAAATTACGTTAAAGTACTTCAAAAATAGCGTCACGAATTTATATATTTATATTTTTAATATTTCTTAATGAATATATTTTTATATGGTTACAACTCATGAGTTGTACAAAAAAAGCATCTCGCACATACATAAAAGTAAACGAATTAAAAAACACCTCTGCTTCTTATTATCGGTGTTACACAAAATGATAATAAAAATGTCTCCTCTTGTGTAATAAATTATTCATGAATTCAGTCATTAAGCTCCTCTGATTTAACCTCGTTGGAGCTATTGAAACAACATTCTTTCAAGTGTAAATGTAATCATTTCTTCGTAGAATATTACTTCTCTGCAACCCAGTGACTAACATAAACGTTTACTAATAGTATTTTTCAAGTTTTCATGGATTGATGAACAGCCGAAAAACGGACGTGACAATAAATTCGAAATGTCAATTCATATATTAAAAGATATATCCTTCATATTTTAATGGTAGTGTAATTTCAATATTTTTGTATATATTAAAACTTTTATGTTTAAGTGATCTAAAAAAAAATATTAATTAATATTGATTATAATAATATTTTCAATAATTATTTCACAACTAGCTAAGTAATTATAATTAATTATTATTGAACACTAAATTATCACTACATGTTAATTACTTCATACTATTGATTTACATTTTAAAAGTATCAATTGCTGAAATCACTTTAGACGAAACTGGAAATGTCTTATTTTTTTGTAATTAATTTATCGTTGACTACTAAATTTCTCCTAAATAATAATAATATTAATTTTATAAAAACAATTTTGATTTTATTTAGTATTATTAATTTATTGATTTATAAGAGATTAATACATTTTTAAGGTCCTTATCTCTTATATGAATATCAACTTTATTCTTTTTATATGGTAATATATCAATTTAAATAGTTCATACAATAGTAAATTATCCAACTAAAAAATGATAAAAAGTTTTGAACCCATATTTCGAAATTTATTTATATTTTCAAATGTAAATTGGAGAAGAAGTGCTAGTTATGTTATGTTTATCATTATATATTTTTCTGTCACTCTAATCCACGCATTAGATAAAAAATATTAACAGCTTCTGAACTACTAGTTCAAAAGTAAATATCGACCAGTCATCTCTTTAGTTTGGTCATTTTCTATTACATGAACTAGTTAAATATAAGTGTTGACTTTTAAAAAAATAAAGTTGATATCCTTATAAGAAATAAGGGATAAAACTAAACAATGTTTAATCGAAATCAAGAAGTATAATATAATATAATAATAAATATTATTTATTTCTGTTTTTTTTTTTTGTTTAATTTTATTCAGTATTATTTAATAAACAAAATTAAGCGATTTTATATTAGGAGAAATTTAGTGGCTAACAATAAATCAAGTACTCTGTAAACAGCTAATAAATAATTTAAAATACCGATATCGTCATAATTACATTTTGGGGTAAATTATTATTACACAACTCACAATATAAATTTTTATTGTATTAAGTACAATACAACATTAAAAACGATTAAAAAGACAAATTAATAGTATTTCCAATTACTGATTGATCAAATGTCTAAGGATCTCCACTCGTACGTACGAATAGATCAAAATTCAAGTGTTATTTTGTCTTCAAAATTAACACTACTGTTTGCTGGTTTTTGTAGAACGTGGGACAAAAGAGTTTCCAGTATACCGAATTAAATCTGATGTTTTTGAAGGGTAAAAAACGGTTGCACGTAGCTGCACGCAACATTATTATTAAATACACAGACAATAGTAGCATTAATAAAACCACGTGGTGCATCCCCACGATTACAAACGGTTTTAAATTGTATAAATCAACCATTACTGTGTTATGTTAGCCAGTGTTTAGGATGGATGAGACAAACCATTACAAACGAATAAAATCCTATGTCAGCTACCGCAATGTTAAACCACAGTCTTAAAACGGTTCTCATAATAAAATTTTGCATTCCCCGCCGGCAACATGATATTTATTACAGATTCATGTGACACATAGTGCAGCTCTTGTTGACTAATTGTTGGCGAACACGAGCAAATGAAACGTATACCGATAACGAGCTTTTCACAAATTATAGTAATGGAAAATTTTTCTAGGTAGATTACAAAGACACTAAGTATAAGTGATATGATGTATTAGTACCTTGAGTATTCAACTTTAAAATAAAGCAAAATTACTCTTAAATACAACAGATATACTGAAAAAAAATCCGATAATATCATAAGGTCGTTTACGGCGTAGACCACTCTATGCGATTGTGGTCGAGTCGTATTGAATTGCATGATAAAACTTAGTGTGTGTAACTTTTACTAAGAAACTATTATTATAATACCAACAGATATTTTGAATAAGTATTAAGAACAAAAAATATCAAAAAAAAATTTGTCTTAAAACAAATTTTGTATAATATACTATTATAAGATTTTAAAAATCATAGAATTCTGTAGTCCGTACATTTGTATGTGTGATTTTATATGATTCTCCATAGAAATCCAAGAAAAATAAACATAAACACGAAAACATGTAACTAATCAAATTTTCGCAGAAAAGGCATTTGTAGAAGAGTCACAGAGTTTAACATTCAATTTTAATATATACAAATGATGCATCCGTAATTATTTATCAACATATAATCATTATAATGATTGAAACATTTATTTAAATAAAATGAAATTAATCAACGTTTATTCATTTATTATTTATTCATTAAAAAAAAATCAGTTTATTTCTAAATTTAAAACAAAAATAAACTTTAAATAAAAAAAATATTTATCTAATTATAAAGAACTTAAATTCTTAAACTAAGAAAAATATAATTTAATTTAAGTAATTTAAATATAATATGAATACATAAAACATATTATTGAGCTTGCTATTACATTGTATATTAATTTCAGAAAATTTAATAAAAACAATCACAAAAATACAAAATTATAATTTTCAATAAAAAAAAACACTGATTTAAATCGATATACTTTATGCACATTGTACAATACAAAGGAGAATTTATTATATTTAATAAAATAAGATGAGAGATGAAAAATATAGATTAAAAATAATAGGAGGACGCCATCCTTCCGTTTTTTCCATATTTCGACCACTATAACATATAATTTATTTTTCTAGAAAAAAATGTTCGTTATAAAGAATTTTAACCAACTCCCTTATCTACGCCACTGAGTTTGATCAATTATTATAAGAACTTATTATTATAACTAAATTTTAATGTTTTTAAAAATTATCTCCTCTAATATATCCCTTACATGAGACACCTTTTTATTTTTTGTTGAAGATATTTTGTTTAAGAATTTTAGATATATTTAAAAATCTTCAACACAAGGTGGTCTTTATTTTGTTACTTGCATTTTATACTCAACGAAATTTAATTTCATTCTATATAATTTTATACCAATCTGCATAAATTAATAACTATATGCGTTATACAGGAAGAAAGTAAGGTTATAGTTAATAACATAGAGTTTAATCAAAGAAATAAAATGATATTATTATCTGTTGAAATGTTAGCTTATGATTATAAGTAAATCGGTATAGTATTTAATGAATACTATTTACCTATATGCTTATTTTATTTGGATTAACCGTTTCTAGTCATAGCTTTAGTATTAATGGTACCTAATTTACAGTTGTATATAAGAATTTGAATTATTATTTTTTATACGTCTATAGCACCATATGTTAAAAATCCTTCAATTTTCTACCAGATTAGATCAATGTATAGTAAACATAGTATACGAATAAAGCAATTAGCCACATCCGTTAAACAATATTATTACCACTTTTACAAAATAATTGATCTACAAAACGCGATCAAAGAAAGTAGAAATAAATATTGAATACCTTTGGTACATTTTAATAATATATTTTCTACATTACAGTATTATAAAATGTACGTGCTGTGAATTATAATTATTAATAATTCAAAATTACTTCCAACTAGCATTGTATATACACACAGTATTCGTTCTCTCTTAATTATTTTAGCGATCCACTTTGTAACAACACAAAAACAAAAAATATAGGAATTAATTAATGTTAATTAATCAAGTTTCGCGATTTTCCCTTTAAATAGGATTATATTTCATCAAAAATTAAAACTATACCAGAAATATTTAAAAATAAGTATCAATTATTTTGAATTTTTTGTACATCTAAATTGATAGAGAAATAACATATTTATTAAAGAAATTATAATCAACCGTACAAAACATAACCGATAAAAATTTTTGAGACACTAAGAGCAAAAATGAATATATTTGAAGTTTTAAAGAATAAAAAAAAAATCATGTAAGAAAAGAAAATTATGATGTTAAGAAATGAGTTATTTGTAAAGAGTCAAATTGAATTAAAATAAACAATTTTCTAGATTATTTCAAGTACATTAGCAATTTTTGGGGCTCTCAATTATGTACGTTTAGCAAATGGATGATGCTTAGCATTTTGTTGGGTTTCTCTTGCAGGTGTTTACCACTGTACGAAACGGTGGTATGCCTTCGTGTGTCCAGACGCATCGCATATGTTATTATTGCACCGAGAACGTGTATTGGTGTGCTGTACGCGACCAGTCTCCCTCCGACGTTTGTGCCGGTCGGTCGTGTGTCGTTATCACCATCGAGTAGTGTTTCATATCAACTCGTGCTGTGCGTGCACTCGATGTGATAATAGATTTGTTTAGAAAATAATATTGGAAAACTATTTGTTAAGTGTAACGGTGTTAATAGAACTTCTAAAATTTATTCGTGTGGGACTTACAGTTTTCGATCGTTTCGCCTCGAGGATAACAATGCAAATGAATTTATATTACAATAACAGCAGCCGGTAACGTTTGGTATTATCAACAACATTGTATCTGGGTGAGTTGAGTTTGTATTATTACAATGATAATATAGTGTCGCATAAAAAATCTGAAAACGTACCCACTGCAGCTTAAGGTACGCGTTATTATAATTTCTTCGGTGACGACCGAAGAAATTACTCTAAAACACTGAGGTTATCAATCCGCTTTTGTCGCCATCGTGACATGAATACATATAGTTTTCCGGCGGATGCGGAAGGCGGAGTAGGGTGTTGCTGAAAGATGAGCTTGCTGTACGCTAATAGTGTTCTACTGGTTTTTTATAACTAATGTTGTTGTACGGGGGTACAATGTTAATTGTATTTCATTGTGCGACAGGGTGAAGGGTGGTGCGCCTGCGGTGGCAATCGAATATGGCCACTGTTTGCACACGTCAGTGTTTTACAACCTCTTAAAAAAAATTTAATAATGGTCTAAGGTTTTATGGGTTGTCGCTCTTGACGTACACGCTCGTGTAATGACACCATATCCTCCGACCAGTCTTCGATGAACTGATATTGACGACGTTGTCAGAATGAATCTTCCGGCGCCGTCTGGTACAATCGCCCTGCTGGGTTCATTTATGTACACACTATGACTATTTTGTTGATACCTATCCTGTGTTTGTATCCTGCTGGCGACCATCCTGTCCCTATCAGTAGTGGTGACACAGTCTAATGGTGGCGCCACGAAGGTCACCGAAGGTACGGTCCATTGAAAAAAAAATAAAGTAAATGGCTTTACGTTTGGGCATAAAAAAGGGCTTGGGTACACACTTTACGGACGGGTTATTGTTATTATTTCTCTAAGCACTACTACAAGTTTCCAATCTAATGGTCAGAAAAACCAAGACGACGGTAATGTTGCAAACGTCCACGAAGATCACGATCGCCGTCAGAGGTTTGCGTCGTCTCCGCTGCCGCGAGGAGGCGTTCGAAAATCCTTCGGCGGATACACAATATTGTTATTATCACGAACGAAACGGTCCTGAGATGTGTAATATGTATTTTGTAGTAACATAATACGACCAAACCGGTTGCACCCTATACGCGTCGTTCATCGCGCCCGGGACAATAATAGCAGCTCGCATACATAATATCACACAAACGTGATTGTTCTAATGACCTTGGTTGACCCTACAAAAAAATCTATATGTATAAACTGCGTTTTACGAGAAAAAATTAACCTCGGCGGCAGCAGCAGCAGCAGTACAGGCGGTTATTATTTGAATACAAAACTATAGGTAGCAGACTCCTCGGCTCCGACATGACCACTGTCGTCTCGGTGGTTTTTTGTGATGGATATCACATTTCGTTAGAAAGTTATTGTGTCGGGAAATTTTCCTTTTTCTGTCTTGCCGCTGGCCAATACAATAAATGTACCATTGGATATGAGTGACATCACGTACGTGTTCAAAGCGACTGCACGTGCTTAAGACCAGCATTTAGAACTCCACCGAGTTTTTTATTGACAGTTGTCTTTTTAACTCAGATCGGAGACTGCGTTTGAAATGTTTAATGTGCTAATTATACCCAAAATCGTCTTCTGACTTAGTCATCCACGTATTACAACTGTACTTTGAAATCTTTCACGCTGAAGTGCGCTCAGCTTCCTATTAAGGAAACTGACTAGAATAATATTCTCGGGCATGGCAAAAAGTGTTTGGTAAATATTTGATCAATTCGACGCGCAATTAATCGTACAAGTGATTCCGTGTTAATAGTTTATCATAAATATGTTGACTTGTCATGTTGAGATATTTACACAAATTAATTAGAGAGTCGTTTGGCGTTTATCAGAAACGCGCAAAAGAGAAACCGGTCACTCATACTAAGAGATGAACAAGAGCGATTGTTTTCATACAGAAGAATTATTATGTATACATTTCCTGTAATATTTTAATATTTAAAACGTTTGCATGATGAAATTTAAAACACTTGAATAACACACTCGTTGTTCAATCATTTTTAACTGAAATTTCTAGATAACCCGGACCCGGCTTTGTTATCGGTAGACTAAGCCGATAGATTTCTGATATTCAAACGACCCAAAGTCTGATTGTATCAGGTATGCATATAACAATGTTTATATATGTGTGTTAAAAGTTCCTCTGAAATGTAAAAAGAGACAAAGGAATGTGAGTTGATGTATTTAAGTGACACGACGACTATTTTATAACCGTAACCCTTCTGCAATACTGAAGTTATTTCTTACCTAATTGTTCGTATATCACCTTACAAACTATTTCACTCCAGTTTTTTAGTACCTTGAGATTTTGTTACATTTTAACAGTTAAACGTCGAGTTAGTTTTTTTCGTTTCACTCGATTGTATTGGTCGATTATTAAATAAAATATTCAAATTTATCTATTGACAATGACTATGGTACCCTAATCTGACTAATATCAAATTACTCAAAACGAATGAACAGTGTTTTTATGTAATTTTATGACTTGTAAACTCGACTCTCAATTGCAGAAACCACCGCGTTAATTCGATATCCTCTGTTACGGCTTCTGTAGCGGCTATAACATAAAACAACGTTATAATGTTTTTAACATTGCAGTAATTGTCAACTTTATTACAAATTACGGTATTGAGGAGTGATGTAATTAGTTCTGAGAAGTAACTAAAAAACAATGCCTATCTATTTCACGATTAATAACTTTTCTCGGATGAATAAATCGCATTGAAATAAAAATTGCACGGAAACCGTCAGGTTTTCTATGAACTTTTAGACATTCCATTTTTTTACAACCGGCTATTAATTGTTCCAGAGCCGTGTATTGTGTAAAGAACGCGGTTCCTGTACATTATTTTCTCATAAATAACCGTAATGGTCGTGGTCGACTCTCAGTGTATTGGCTTCCCATTGTATTTATGTACACGCGCATACGATTTTTTCTCGTCGCACAATGACAGTCGAACTGTTCATGTACAAGCGTAGCACGTGCTACATAATCGGTAGGGAGGGTAAGAGTAGTACCCGGCGGAAGAGAGAAAAAAATCGACCCATCGCGTTAGGAAGGAAAAAAACACACTACAAACCGGTACCATCTGTGCGTCTATCAGCCCCGGGGACGCTGCTCTGTGGACCATCGAAGCTCACAATGGATTATCTGGAGAAAAACGCGGTAAACATCTCTCAGTCGATTTTAATTACGAGTCTCCTCCTATCAAACGTGTATATTATAAGCACACACAAAAATAAGCATTACAATAAAATAATGTGATATTTAAATGCGCCCGCCGCGTCGTATACGACCTGTAACATTATCTCTTGTCAACATTTCGGGGAGCATTATTCATTCTTGTCGGCGGTGGTTTTTTTTTCTGTTTAACTCGTTACGGTTTCTTCTTGTATACAATATTGTATGCATTATGATAATGCGCTCGGGGGCGTGACTCCATTGCTGCCGCGCGGCCTTCCTTGTGCTCGCAGGTATTGCGGCTTAAAAAAGTTAACCGTCGCTCAAAACCACTGCGGGTGTGGTCGAAATCGGACAGATTAGTTGCTGGAGTTGGTACGGTGACATAACAAAATCATAAACTGTTGTTGGTAACACACGAGCATGTTTACTAAAAAAATTACCCGAAAAGTCATTGCGGTGTTACCTGCTAACTTTTTACAACTTAATAAACTCAAAAGAACTAAATCAACGGAAAAATCGTTGAAATAATTTATAATATTCTCATTCAAATTTTTTTTCTTGTAAGAAAAACTTGTTTAAAGATATTCGTTGTAAGTCAATAATATCTATTGTATTACACAACTATTAACAATAAATGATTCCTCGGGGCTGTGTAATTAAGGACATTAAATGAGCTTATACAATGCATGTACCTAAATTGAAGCTGCCGATTAATCTTTAAAAAAAAATACAACTTGCCATTAAAAAATTGTTTAATGAATTTCATAATCTCTAGGAGAGTTTTATTCCTATAATCATTTTTATTACACTCGTACAATTTTTTTATCTATTTCGATAAATACAATAATAAATTATTATTAATTTCTATTATACACGTGTAATAACATATACTTTTAATTTATAACAAATCTAGTTTATAAACTTTAAAAATACCACGTGTCATTTAATTATATTTATATTAGTTTATTATTCTAAATATTGAATTGACATTCGAAGAATATTATAAATTTTTATTTGAATAACATTTGTTTTTTAGATTCGATGCGAAGTTGAGAAGATAATTTTACTATGATATGTTTTTTTTTTTTATTAATGCAAGTAGTTTAACCAGTTTTATAGTTAATACGTTAAAAAAAAAATTCTTAAACTTTAATTGAATTGGAAAAATTGAACCAGTTGATATATTTAGTATGTTATTGAATATTTTAGACGAGTCTCATTAAAATTAGAAATAGTGTTTAATTCTTATTATTAAATTAGTTTAATATAAAAATATAAGAGAAGTTTCGTTAAACCTTTTGTTACATTTAAGCTATTTTTAAACTAATAATAGTTTTAGATGCCTCGAAGATGTTTATTTTTATGTATAATGATAATTTTTAGTGCAGTTTAAAAACTTTAAAATAAAAAAGTTGATAAGCTTTTGAAAAATGAGCTCTTGTCACGAATAATAGTTTAACTTGTTAGTGACGTTTTAAATTTCACTAAACTATGCCACATAAACCATTAGTATCACTTTTAATGTGAAACCAGTTTATTGATTTTTTTTTTTATTTTAGAACATAGTCGTTTTCGAATTTAATTTTATAAATGTTTACCTTTATAATTTAATAAAATAATAAAGACGAAATACAAATTCTAATACAATATTAATTACTAAGAAAAAATTTAAAAAACTATATCGTGGTCACTGGGGAAATGTAAATATGAATTTCATCAAATGCATTGTAATTTGTAACTTATGGTGTAATGTAAAAGTTGATTTGTCTAATAATTTATTATAAAATTGTAAACTGCATAGTTCCATAGATATTCAAATACTTGATAATTGAATGGCATTTGAAATTATTTTAAATACTAACACAGAA